TCGAAGGAGAAGAGCCACTTACTGCCACATTTCGATTGACAAATTTGTTGGGCAAGAAGTATCATGGCCCTGATTAGTAGGCAAATTTGGATAAACTCCAGCAGAATGGATATTTGGCAAGCCCCAGTATTCAGGTCCACTACTAAAGCGGAGTCCTATTTCAACTTCATCCTACATACTTCTTGCTAGAATTGGTGTACTGCTTAATTTGTACTCCACTCCACTTAACCGTAATAAAGAACGCAGGTGTGCTTTTGCATAGGGCGCTTTATTGTAGCATTGTGACCTGCATCACTCATTGTTGCCAGGGCCAACAGACTGCACTCACTGAAGTCTATAGCCATGACCTAAAGAACTAAGCACGGGAGGATTGTGTACATAAATAAGAGGCCGCCTTTACTCAGGGCTAGTTGATCACACCATCGGGTCGCGATGACCAAGCTCATTCTTCTGGCTTTCATGCTACTCTGTGCCGTCTGTCTCAGTCAAGGTAAGCGAACAGCTTTTCTTGTGTCTCGTCTGTTGTTGCATTCCTCCTCACTGCACCTCCATCGACTGTCGTGTCCATTGCACTCACCAATCCTCACTCCATTCCAATCAGGATGTAAAAAACTCAGTCTGCTCTTCTAGCCTCCATACATGCATGCATACATGCTTGCACACGCTCTTGCAGTTCTTTCAATGCAGCAGTACCGCTTCCACACAGTAGTTCTACATTCCACTTTACATTCTCTGCTTCCATCCTGGAGGGAGTAGCATGTGAAGGATTACGAAGTACTGACTTACTTTGGTCAATAATGTGCTGAAAATGTGACGAGTTGATGCATTTCACTCAATCGACTCCAGTTAGCAATGCCTAATGAGCAGACTCAATTTATTGGGTGCTGTTGGCAAGGTAGACACTCGCCATTTCGGTGGTAATTTCTGAGCCAGGTATGAGGGCAGTACTTTGGCGACAGGCTATGAAAGATGACTCAAAGTCAGTGGATGCAATGGATGGTAAATTAAATCGAAATGTGGGAGATATCACCCACATTTGATTGAGACATTTACATCCGTCGCAGTGGTCTTTTTAGTATCCGTCTACCTCGAAGCGCTTAAGCTTATTTCAAATGCCTTTCTAGTGCTGCCAATACTACTAACTTTTGCTGATCTTTAGCACAACTATGGTCAGCAAGGCGTGAGGCCCAGATGTAGTTGATGAATTTTGTTTGACTTGGAGGCGGCAGGATTGCCTGCCATCTACCACTTTCTCTAACACCCTGCAAAGCTCACTACTGAATGTAGTGCTGCAATCCCGCGAGTGGTCATTGTATGCGTGCCAGCCACGGCGGTTGCAAAGGCAATGCTACACGGTACCCAACATGGCTGAAATGAAAGAGTGCCTGTGTTAGGAAGGCGAGCGTTGAATGATTTGGAAAATGTATGCTTTCTAATTAATACTGGTCCAATACAGTTTGATTTGTCGCAAGTGTGACCATCTTTTCCGGTCTGATCTTGATTTTATCGTGCTGGGATTTGGCGGTCCCGTGTACTTTTCTGGCTGGCAGCGAGATCGTTTAAATACAAATAGTTTGTGAAGGCAGATCGACTGACTGCATCAGCACATCGCCTAGAAAGTGACATTTTATTGGTGGATTGGAGGTGGGAGGCACGACAGTTTATGATCACTACTGAATTGTTAGGAATTGTCAGAAGTTTTGAAAACCCAGGTAGTCCCTCAAATTTGGGCTTATTGTAGGCTTAAGAAGCAAAGTAAAGCATAGTAAGAGACTCCTTCATTTATTGTGACCAAACTGAGTAAGGAGTGCGCGTATCAACCCAACCTTACAATAACCAGGTAACTGTTGTTGGTGGAGGGCATTTCCCCACTTGATACATGGCATTCTTCTTCCCGAATTCGTTTCAATGGACCGATTCATGCATATCCATTAAAAGGCTTCTCCTTTACCTGGCCTGTCAAGGATTTCCTGTATGCTACTTACTGATTAGGATCGGCTGACAGAGACAAGCAGGTGTACTTCATTATACTGTAGCATCCTGAGCCACAAATATGCATCATGGACAGTTCTATTGCAATTGAAGCCATAAATTTGAGTTATTATGTACCTCCACTTCAACTTATTTTGCAAAGAGTGCATTTACACAAGTGTAGAGGTGTTCAATTTGCGGATATTCCCAGGAGCCTTTTGTAACCACGATATTGAAAAGAGATTGAGCATGCTGGGTGCAGATGTAGGAGCATGAATACGAATACTACAGCATCAGCTAATGGTAGTTGTTTGGCAGGGATACTGAAGCAGCTGGATTGATTATATGAGCGTGACAATGAACCCTGTCATGATTTCTCCTATGACAGCCTTTGTTCATAATTTCGCCTGGTACTCCCACTTTTCAGTATCTGTAGGTAGTTAAATGGGTCAAAATATAACACAATTCTCTTTCCAGTAACTTCTTTAATGTACATTTGCTACTTTAACTGTTTACGCTGGCTAATGGTACTACTTATGTGGCCCCAGTAGTTTGGCTAAGGACAATTTTACCCGAGATTATCGTTCTTGCACAGGTCCGAGGTAGTCGATATGACCTTCCTACTATTTAAAAAATAAGCAGATTACTGACCGCTTATGCTTCGGCAAGGTGACAAAGGATTACACTCTTCAAACTGGTCGGCCACCTTCTGTTACTGATTGAGCAACTTACATTTGACGTACAAAATATAGCAGCTTAAGTCCATTTGCATCGTCTTTTCCCGTAATGATTTTGTCTAATCGAAAATTTGTGCACCATTTGTTATTAGGATTACAGTTAGGCAGGAGTTGTGACACCAAATAAAGTAATTTTGCACAAGACAATGCGTGATTGGCGCATAGCATTACCATTCC